CCGTGGTTGCCAAGTCCTCATAGACCAAGAGGCTTGTGTAGAATGACGTGTCCGCGCTGGCAGCAGCTTGGTATTCCTCTTCCAGCTTGCACTTGTGGAAAGCTGCGATGAAAACCTGACCATGACAGGGGCTAAATTCAAGCCCCGGTCAGGCTGCCTGGATTAAGGCGCATTTGGAGAATTGCAGGGAACTTCTTCCAGCAGGCAAACTCATGCTCAGAGCCCATCTTCCCTAGCACTCAGTGCCGCCAAGCAACTGCTTGCAAAATAGCGGTCCTCAGATGAAAATGCGCAAAGCCATTCACTGCAACTGCACAATTGCCTAGCATTGTGGAGCCCAACAGCAATGGTTTCACAGAGAAACAGATCCTCGTGTAGATCCTTGATCCTAGCAGCACGGTGTACCTATTACTTGTGTTGTAGGACATCCAAATGCCATCTCTTCTCTGAGCCATAAGCATTCCCAACCTTGCCGAACAAAACCTTCATCCATGCCTTCAGCCGTGAGTTATATGCTCCCAAGCATCACGACGCCGAAGCTTTTACCCGGCTGCGGTGACCATAACTCCTGCAGGGACCATTAACTCCTTGAGGTAGCCAACATACTGCTTGCTGGTGCTTGGGCTGGAGCGATTCTGAAGCTGTAGAGGAGCGTACGTCTGAAAATGCACACCCAAAAACTGCTAGAATCCCTGTTGCATGGGAGACCGCTCCAAAAACAAAGTTTGAACAGCGTCTCTGAAAATCAACTGCTAGCGGCTCCTCTGTGTCCGCACGTCGCCTGAATCGCCCGAAAACAAGCAGTTTACGCATGGCAGAGACCAGGTACCATGCACTACTACAAAACATACAGTGAAGTGCAAGCTTTCCTCCATCCAACACAGAAGGTCTCTAAGGTATTGGGAAACGCGGGCAACGACTCTGGTGAACTGCTACTTGGAGTTGAGCTAACCAGAGCAAGGACTGCCGCCATTGCTCAACGCTTGGGCACGCATGCAAGCGTAGAATACTGCTGCTAAAGTCGGCTGACAGGCCGCTTCAACGTTGCCGGAATCGATCCAGGACGTACTTTCTTCAAAATCACGTCGCCCCTTGTGGGGTGCTCATAACACTGCTTTGCTCTGCTGTGTTGGGAGTATGGGCGGTGCCATCATGCCCAAATCTTGCCAAGTGGCGCTGCTGCTGGCTGCGAATCTTGCTCGTATCTCGGCTTGCAGATTTGATGGAGCTGGAAGGTGGCTTACAGCCAAGCTAGGCAGGTCAAGGTTGGCGGGGTTTGAAAGGGTCTAGACTGTATTCAATTCTTTACAAATACAAGGAAGTTTGACTCCATTGGATAGAGACTCCCATCATACTTCGTAGCTGTCATTTTCCAGTTTTCCATCAATGATAGAGAAGAAGGGCAACTGCATGAAACCATGTTTCATTGTTACATGCCGCTGCCAGCCTGGATGCAACCACTTGCTCCAAGGAGACATTTTCTTTTCTCGTGGAGGAATCACAACCAATATTGTGCCGAAGAGCCTGAGCATTTCACGCTGCGTAGCCATGGAGGCCACCTCGGACCATTGGCCGGCAGGACACATTCTTGTAGTGGCTTCTCAAATCTTCAAAGACAAAACATCAACTCATCCCATGACTAGGAGGATTGCAAAACAGGGTATGAAGGCATTGAGACTCACAAGGCAAGCAACTGAACAGTAGCTGAGCCTCAACTCGACATGTAATGTATTTCTTGTGCGTGGCGCGACAGGGTTACAAGCAGCTTGCCTGCCTGCCTCCTAACTCTCGACCGCCTTTACCAAACCGCAGCTGCGTTCTGAAGCTCTATGTCTAAAGTATTGGCTACATTTGGGGCGAATCGCTTATCTGACAGGCCCTTGCGTTGTGTCTTGTCAGCAGGCTGCGTACCCCACTGCCCCCCATTCACGCTTTAAGTTTATGTGACATGCCATTCCTAATATAGGACTGTAGTGTCTGCCACTCCATCTCACCACAAGGCGAGCAGGCCGGAAACAAAGTTTCCTTGCGGGACGATAAAAGGCCATGGCCGGTGTCGCTGATTCGACGATTTCGCCCATGGAGCGAACAACCCGACAGTTAGGCAATATGTACGATGGTGAGTCCCCAAAGCTACTGGGTGTAACTTTGAACCTCTAGTAGTCGTCCCATTCCCGTTTTCAAGCACAAAGGTCTCGTCCTCACGCTGATCTAAATAGACACGTTGAGTTTTTGCGCGCTTCATGGGAGGCAAGGCCTCGGCGGTTCAAGGGCCGATCACGGCAGATCTGGGCGGAATTCCTTCCAGCTTTTTCACCAAACCTCCCGGAAGATCCCGCAGGCTCACCTCATGATGCATCTTCTGCCCTGGGCCCCTACAAGAAACCTGCCAATTCTGCTGGTTCAGCAACAGCCCTTCCGTCTTGAGTCATCATTGAAATAACGAAGTGGCTAGCCATGCCTACAAGCATCTTGTAGGCCGGGAGCATGTTGTGCTAGTGCGCGCATGCCATCTGGTAGACCTCTGCTTGCCGCCGGGCGGCGTGCCGCAGCTGTCACGTCAGGCGCGGCGCAGACATTGATTCCAAGCTCCCCCCGAAAAGGAACAACCGGGTCTTTTCCAAGCTGTCCGCTTTTGCGGCTTTACAAGTACAGATTGACTCTTCGGAACCGAACACACTTTTACGGTCACCCTGGAAATCGCAAGGTTCATTCGCGCAAACAAGGAGTGAACAACTCCGGATGCTGGCTCCTAGAAGCCTTTGTTGTGATAAGCTTGGTTTGCCAAGGTGTCCGAGGTTTAGGGTTTCGCATGCTTTGTGTACAGTGGCGGTCTCATGTAGGGGTCTCCTCAAAGCGTAGTATACTTTGAAAAGCAAGTTTTGCGGCTGTTTCTGAGGGTAGTCTCCAATGTATGCTAGGGTATCGTGGTTGCAGTTCTGGTAACTCCTGCATTTATTTCCGTCGTGCTCTCTCTTCTGTCTTTCACAATACCTTGCACTCATGTAAAGATAAAGGTTCTAAGGCTAAGCATGATGCTCTAAATCGAGGCAAGGCAGTTACAGGATTTGGCTTGAGTGCTCTGGCTGGTACACTACTGCTTCCTCTACTTGAACCTAAGCTGGCAGGCGTCTGATGGCAACATTCATCAAAAGCATGCCGCATGTCGGCCGCTCTTTGTCTGTACTGCATACCAACACAACACTTAGAGCAGCAAGCCGCGATGCAAACTCTGGCTGATATCCAAGCCAGTCAGCACCCATTGCAAGCCAAGAGAGCGGGCACCTGAAAGACAAGGTCTGGGGACACTCCGTGCCTTGGCAGTACAGGGCTGAGCAATAAGAAGCTTAGCCGAACCTACAGCCAGAGCATTGGGTAAATCATGCCCTATTGTTGGAGCGGATACAAGTAATCGCAAGTGAGCAATCTTTCAGCTACTAAGAGCCTTGCTGAAGGCAATACATGCGAGGCTGGGGTCTCCGGTTTAGGAGGCCTCCTCGCAGCCATCTTGTCAATGTTGGGTTGAGAATCAGTTGAGGTCCTTGGGGGATACCCCAATTGCTGCGTGAACTTCTCGAACCCAGCGAGACCCACAGCAGAACCCAGGAAAGCGAGCCTTCCTTGCTATGAATTATTGGAAGCAAGGGGAAACAGGAGATTTGGCGGACAACAAGTCAAAAGTCCCCATACATCCGTGAGGGCAAAGCCAATGTTGAGATTGGCCTTTAACTGTTTTGGCTCGTCAGGCAAGCTGCCAAGTAAAGAAAAGCCTGCAGGGAGCGTACACAGAGGTTTCGTGGGGCAGGGCTGCAGTGGATATAAGAGCTTCTGTAATAC